ATGTACCCAGAACCACCCGCGACAATGTTTTAGCCCCATCAGGCATTGGGATCTCAACCCAGAATTCCAATGGGCAGCGGAGACTGCGGGAACTGTGGGATAGCTACCCACAGTGCAACGCTCCGGAAGTCGACTCTAGCCTCGGTACTGTGGAAGCGCTCCGCCGAGTTAATGCACTTAATGCACTTAGAGCATTTTCTGTGGGGACACACACACTCGAATATATAAAACCGATTTCTAAAAAACCGACTTCTATAAATTCGACCTTATTCCTTAGTGTAGACATACCCTTTATGATGTAGAGAACAAAGCTAGGATTAACCACCAAAGATCTCTGATATATCAGAGGGAGCCAAAGTTTGTGCTTTGATCTCCATCTTCATTCAATAACTGGCTAAACTATATGGTCCTAACTTGGCTGAAGCAAATATCAACAGCTCACAGCATTCTCCTAAAACTTACCTTTTCCTATTTTAAATGTGTGACTTCCTCCATTAGTGTGCCAAGGTCCTGAAAGCAGGCCCATCGGACATTGAATACAAAATATGAGAAAAATCACATTTTTTCCTTACTATTTGAATAACCTCTGCATTATTATTTATGATTATTTGCATTGCATTAACATTCAAGGATCCCAAGCAGGATCAAGGCCACACTGCCTTATGTGCTGAACAAACACAGAGAGATTGAAATAGAGGGAACCTTTTTTATTACAAAGAACAAACAGAAATCCTGGCCACAAGCTATTAGTTTTGTGACTGTAATAGCTGTGAAAACTTTAGATGAGAGAATCACATGGTGTTAAATGATTTGAAAATTTTTCCACGTTTAAACACATAGATGACACAGTATACGTGCAGTTCTCCTCTCACTTTCTCTATCATCATAAATCAGGATTAATTCCCTTAAAGTAAATGGAGTTACATTGGTTTAAAAGCCATAATGTTTATACGTGAGAACATAGAGCAATAGAAAATTTATTATAGGACCAGCTGGGTCATCTGATAATTCCCATGGCAAGATCCTGTTTTTCGTTGTTTATAGCTTTGCCAAAACGTAACCTTCCATGCTGAAGTGTCTGCTCAGGCTGAATTATTCATTATTATTATTTTAACGTTTCACCAAAGATGGTTCAGCTATTTCAGAGATTAGGGAAACATAAGTTGTTTTGCCCTTGTTAAAAAGGTTAATGCAATTGTTTTGTTAGGAACCTTTGCCATCTCTGAGGGGCGGTGGAGGGGGAAAAGACGAGAAGAGAGTGTGGTCATCCTCATGTCCAGAACATGCCTTTTGCCATCCCAGCAAATAACCACCCAAATTTGGCCTAGTTATAAGCCTCTGGAAAACACCTGCAGGTTACATATGCTCAGTGGAGTCTTGCTAGAAGCAGCTAAACCTCTGAAGATTCTGTCCTCCCTCAGTATGCTCGAGACTCTCTCAGCTCCTACCTGTGACAGACTGCATGTGGTCCATCCCCGCAGAGCAGATGAGCACGTTCCAACCCAGGGCTACAGTTGCTGAAAAGAATTTGCCCTGTAATGGCTGCTCATAGTTAGAGTGGGGCCAGGTGTTGGTACTGAGAGCAGGGAGCCTGTCTCTCCTGTGCTCTCAAGAACTCCCCTGCTGGCACTCAGACAGTGTGGAGGAGGAAGCTGTCTGACTGGAATGCATAGGGGACAAAAGCAGGATAGAGGAAAAGGGAAAGGAGAAGACTTGGACAAGGCATCTGCTGAGATTGGGCCTGTGCAAGGAGACTGGAACTGGAAGCTGGGGAAGGGAGACTGGTACTAGTTGGGCAAGGAGACTTGGACTGGGAACTGCGCGGTACGAGGGGGTGATACTGGGAGCCAGGGGGGAAAGCAGGGGAGGAGGACACAGATTGGGTGAGGAGCTGGGGGGAAGAGTGGGACTGGAACAGGGAGCCGGGAAGGTCGGGGGAGGCAGAGACTGGATGAGGAGTCCATGGAGGGAGACTGGGAGTCAGTGGGATGGGAGGGGAGAGACAGATTGGAAAGGGGATATCACACAGAGGCCCATTGGTGCCAATTGGCAAAGGGGTCACTGTTCCGTACAAGCAACTCGTCTCAGACAAGACAAACTCATTACATCTAACACATTGGCTTCATGATAGTTATCCATAAAGGGTAGCATGTGAGGTCTCTGCTGAAAGCTTGTAACTTATCAATACATGCACGTATGGGTAACAGTTAAGGAATAATGTTACTATATTTAAAATTATACCCTTATGGTCTTGAAGTGAAAGTGAGTCACCAGGGAATGGTGCTGGCCCATTCAAGCGGGAGGAAGCTCTCACCTCCCTCTGGCTAGCTGATTACATAATGTTTTGCTCAGTGGTTTATCTTTGCACCAACCCAGAAAAATTAAACATCAAAACCACTTGGAAGTGAGAAGAAAGACAGGGGAGTGAGGGAGCGCCCTGTCTGTGAATAAAGACTGATTCAGTATATCACAGGGTGGAGAAAGACATTCTACATCCGTCCACTGAGGAGGTACCTGGATGAGTGGAGGTGCTTTGTGAAAAACTGGGTCCTAGCTCCTTGGGATTAGCCAGCGCTGCAAAAGACTGAATTTTGGAGTGAGAATCTACTTTATTAGCTAGGACAGGTAACTACGAATAAGGGCAGGCCCTACTTCATGTTTTATAATTTTGTTTCATATGTAACCATTTGTTTCCCTCACTCCACTTGTTTCTGTTTAAGAAAAAAAAAGAGATTCAAATAAATTATCTTTTATGTTACTACCTTCGAACAAATGCTGTGTGTGATACAGGAGCCATGGGCTAAGTGAAAACTAGTAAACTGGGAAACACTGTTCCAGACTGGGATTTCTGTGGATATCCAGTGATTAGGGGCTGGACTCCCCAAGGGGGGAACTTGAGGGATGCAGTGCATCTACTGTCAATCTGCAGGGCAAAGGCAGGGCTGGTGTAGCGCAGAGGAGAGCACTCATGTGCCTGACAGGCTGGTTGTGTTAGGGAGCTAATATTCGACTGGCACAGGCACTGGAGAAAGCTGGCAACAAGGTGACTCACAGCCCTGCGTGCCCTGAGAAGCCGAACTGGGACTGACTGAGCAAGGAGACTCTGACTGGCTGGGAGGGGCGGGGGTGACTATGACTGGGTGGGCAAGGAAACTGGGACGGGGTGAGACACCTGAGGAGTACGGACAGCGACTGGGTGGGGCTAAAGAATGGGACTGGGACACGGAGCTAGGAGTAGTGAAGAGACCAACTGGGACAGGTTGGAAGGGATAGGGCAGGAGGGGGGTCAAGCTTCGGGGAAAATGTGCACAAGGATCCATATCTATTTCATTCCTGTTCAGAATCTGGAATGGAAACCAAGATTCCGGAGTCTCACCATTTCTCTGCTACCTGTGAAATCCACTGGCAAAGTGTGTGAGTCTCATCCCCTACTACTGCTGGTCCACGTAGGGAATCACAAGCTACTCTAGCTATCTGTTACTCTATTAGCTCAAGTGGCAGAGGCCTGTGAAATAGATCTAAAAGTTCCTACGCTGCTGACGAACCAGGGGGTGTCAATATGATGCCACTTAATGGAATTTCTATTATTTCCATTTGCTTTTTTAAAACCAAAGAAGTCGCAAACAAAAAGTTACATTAAAAACACCAGGGTTGCAAGTCAAGCACTCAAAAGTGCCAAAATTAAGTCTGTGCAACTCAACCCTCTTGTGCATAAGCATTAGGGTACAGTCTTTAATTATTTGATCACATACCATTTTTTCTGCAGGACCCATCTCATTCAGGATGGGCCTGTTCTGGGGATGAATCCGGGTTCTGTAGTGAAGGAGGCTTATCTGTTAGGACCCCTGCCTCATTTGTTGCAGAACTTGGAAGGGGTGTAGTGAATGAGGCAGCAGATTGTAGGAAGAGACAGCATGTTGTCTCATATCTAAGGCAACGGAATGCTGCTCTGAAGAAGTGGATTCTATCCTTGGCTCTGACACAGTTTCTCTATGTAAGGCTAGTTAAATCATTTAGACCAAACTTCTCAGAGGTGGTCTCTCATCGCTTCACTTAAGACCCTGGGATCTGATATATAGGCGTCCTGAGCACACAGCTCTGCAATGGAAGTCGATCAAAGCTGTGCTTTAAGCGTCATATGGCACTTCATAGGGACCTAGCCATCGCAAATTGAGCACCCAAAATGAGTGGATACTTTTGACTTTAATCTCTCAGTGCCTCACTCTCCATCTATAAAATACTATGTGAACATCTAAAGACTGTTAGCATATGCACAACGGGGCTGAATTTCTTTTTACTTTTGAGGTTTGACTTTGCAACCTTAACATTTCTTTTAACATAGTGTTTTGTGTGTAATTAGAAATATTACATGTACACACTACTGTGTATGCTTTATACTGCATATTTTCTAAGTACCATTTTCAAAAAAGTGTAGATTCCAAGAGATTATTTGACCTGCATCTGCCTGTTTTTCAGCATCTCACAGTCTCTGTGCTCTCTTCTACGCTGAGCGCTATGCAATGAAGGCCCATTTGGGCCATTATGCCCTTGGGAAACTAGCTGACTGATCATGGCAAGTTTCAGAAGTGACTGAGAATAGTTTTCAAGTGTGCACTATCAAGATGTGGCAAAGTATCATCTCAGCCGCTCTACTTGTATGTTTCACCCCTTTGCTATCCCTCTTTGCCTTTGAATTGTGAGCAGGGTACAAGGCCTCTTCTGTTTGGAAAGCACCTGCCTCAATCAAAGAGAATAAAAGGGCCTGATACTCTAATTTTATACAGGTGCAATAGTGGTGTAACACCAGTTATTTCCCTTGATGTAAAACAAAATGGCCCAAAATGGAGGAAAGTGACTGAAATTACAATATCTAAAAAGCTGGTTTAAACATCTTTGGAGCACCAGGACTTTCTAGCTTGCACCCATTCTTTGGGATAACTGTTCTGTGCAGTTTGCTCCCATGTGTTTAAATTCAAGCCAAATGATAAAAGACATCTCACCAAGGTAAACAAAGTAAGGAGCGATGATGCTGCCCACCCTGGAAGACATGGAAGTAGCTCCAACTGCCATGTTTCTTACTATTGTTGGGTAGAGCTCAGAAGTGTAGACATAAAGCATTGAGAATGCGGATGTGATCCCAAACTTCCCCAGCATCACCAGGAAGACAGACAGGATGTGAAGGTCTGAAAATAAAATTAAATGAGGATCAATAAAGCTGCATCAAGTTCCCATGCTTGTTACCTCCATTGTTTTTACCTCCCAAAGACTTTAGTTTTTCCCCCCTCTGTAATTGCAGTCTTCTCTTATCATAACCACCCCTGAGCCCTAGATTCGCCAATTCATAACTTGAGCAGGCAGCTTATTTTATACTACCAGGACTTTGGTTCACTCCCAGTCTGAGAGTGCACTTGAAATGCATTACGGCTCTGATTCAGCAAACTAGATAAGCACATGCTTAAATTCATATCTAATCAGCAATGCATTTAGGTTCTACTGAAGTCTACGGTGAAATCTGAAGAACTTCTGATTTTTGTAAGTAGTGTCTCCAGTTCAGATGCATCTGTGTTCTGTCATTTATCCAATTTTATGACCTGGTCATCTGAAGCATAAACGGATCAATACTTTGATTTTCAGAAGTGCTGAGCACTCAACACCCAGTGAACTCAATGAGAGCTGCAGGTGCTCAGAATTGTATGAAAAAGTAACAAACCAACCCAAAATCAAATCAAGCCACAAATGATTGAGGTTTGGTGCAAATTTCACCTGGTAACTTCCTGGTTTCCAACCCTTTGCTGGAGCAGTTAGATGGCACTGTAGGATATATTTTATTTTTACGTCATGAGTTGAAGCTCATACCTGTAGGCACCAGCTGAATGAAGAGAATAACCCCTCCTCCTAAGAACAAGGTGCCAGATATCGAATACCGCCGAGGTAAGATTCGGAGGAGCAGCCAAGCAATCACATAAGCTGGAACTTCTATAATGGCTGAGAGGAAGCAATTGATGTAGGCATTTCCATGCAAGTTGGGAGTGTTGAGAGACAGTCCAAAGTAACCAACTGATGTTAACATCCTGAAAGATGCATAAAAAGTAAAGTCTCTACAGTATTACCCAAGATTCTGTTTCAGAAACAGCACTATACCAGACATCAGCAGGGATGGGATGGCTTTCAGAATTTCAATAGCTACACCACAGTTGCTAAGTTTTTTGCACCTGCAGCTTCTTTTTGTACTAAAAATGCCCAAACACAATCCTCTCCACAGAGCCCTAACTTAACTCTCCCTCCCATATACAATATGGTAAATGAAAGGCTCACTGGAAGTTATTCATAATGGTGTTTCACTGTGACGGAGCCATTAACAATAAAGTGAAGTAGGAAGTCCTGAAACGTTTCAGTTCATTACAGCATGCCATCTACAATCCCATTTTTAGGGAACCTCTCCCTAGAGCAAACTCTATTAAAAGACTCGGTGTATTCATAAAAAGCTCCATTACAGCATCTGAATGTTATGGTTCTGCATAAGAGAGCTGGAAGATCGGATTTCAAATCTTGGGACACCTCAATTTGACATGCAAAAGGAATTAGCCAATTCCTCTAGACGGGAGGCAGTGGAGTCTAAAAGAATGGATCACAGATTAAGAGTCATGTATTTGGTTCTAATTATTGTTCTGCCACTGAACTGCTATATGGCCTGGGCAAGCCACATGACCTCTTTCGCTATACCCCCAAGACAGTAATGTGTACTTCTCATGGATGTTGTGTGGCTAAGACTGTGGGTTTGTTGGTTTTTTTACAGCAGCACTTTGAGTACACCGTGTGCTATATAAATGCTCAACATCAATAGAGTCATCATAAATTTGCATGCTCACATGCACACTGAGGAGCACAAATCTCTACCTGCCCAAACACGGATGCAAGCCCCTTAATGCAGGTATTTGAACACCCTACGCAGATTCCCATGTTTGAAATAGGTCCCAGTGTATGAGACCGGTTATTATAAAAAACTACAACAGGCATCACAAACAGATTGATTGTTATCCATGTGCTTTAGGGTCACACATCCACTTACCACAGCAACAATGACATAACAGTGATAACTGCAATGTTTCGGGTTCTGAACAAGTCCAAGATGTATGCCTTCTGCTGCTGCTGAAACTTCATATCCTGCATCTTAGGGGAAAAGGAAAACAAACCCAAAATATCCCTATAGGAAGCGATCAATCTAATCTGTGGGGAAAAAAATCTTAACACACAGATTTGGGAGGATGGAGGTTATGAAAATATAACCCCACATAACCCTTCCAAGTAAAGTGAAAGGGCAGAAAATACACAAATCAACAGCCACCCAACCAATTCCGCATCAGCAAAGGGGTTTCATAGGAAGCTTGATTGGAGTACCACTGGGGGTAGAGACTAAAGTAACTTTTAAGTTAGTTGTGACACACGGCAGCACTGACATACCCGTACCAATTCGATCTAGAAATCAGTTACCAAGTCATCAAAGAACAGAAAGTCTAACGGGGGACAAGACTTGCACTAACTTCCCCTCCTTCATGCCGTACAAAGGCACTCCCAGCCCCGGCCTCACTGACAAAGGCAGTTTCCCGCACGCTGCCTATTGAGATCTCTACAGATCTCAGAATACACACATCAGTGTGAAACAAAGAATCCTCAAGCGCGGCTGCCTATTGAGCAGCAGTTGGTTGCAAGAGCACATGGGAAATTGGTGCTCAGCCCTGAACTCAATTACTAACTGTGATGATATTTGCCACCACTGCTCCCCATGTTAGCAGAGGCTGAGAGACCATTTGGTGCTGGAAACAGACCCTCTGCAGCCAATCTGGCATGTGCAGGGTCCTCTTTGCTGGGTCCAGCTGATTCAGAGCCTGGAGGTAGGTCCCACATAAGAATTACACCCTGCCTGGGCCAGTAGTGGCCCAAAACTATTACCAATTAGCGCCCTAGGATGAAGAAAGGAGCTGGTGATCTCGGGCCAGGGCTTAGTAGACTCGTGCCATTACTACAAAGGCCACTGCCACAACTGATACCAAGTTGGTCTCAGGTGAGGGGCCAGCCCAGGACTGAATGGGCATAAAACAGAGCTAATCTCTCAGTCCCAGAGGATAAGGCTGTGTCACACTCCTGGCCTGCCTCGGGGAAGCTGAAATGCTGCTTCCTTGGCCGTTCCTGTTTGGCTAGCTAGAAGTTTTCACTTTCTAGGAACGTCCATCTGGCATCGCTCAGAAGCTCTAAGGTTATTTTAACAGAACAGACATTGTGCAGGCATCATCCACTGGCAAATGTAAAAGGCTGACATCAGGATCAGACTTGTACGGTTGTGAGTGGGGGAGGGGAGGGGCTGTATTGCCACTTAATCTGAAAGGCACGAGGCAGTGATGAAAAGCAGACTTTTCTCCTGGAGCCTGAGAAAAAGTCTTGTAAAGTATTAAACATGCAGCTGATCTACAGCTAGGACATAAAGGAAGTGCTTTTCTTTCTCACAACTGTCCTAGGACAAAATTCCCACCCCCAAAACACACTTGCTTTTCGAGAACAGATTTTAAGTGGCATAACCAAAAACTGAACAATATTTGAGTAGTTTATGCTGCCAAGCAAGTTCATCAAAGAACACATTTTTCTTGTAGAAAAGTCATAACAACATGTGGTTTTGTACTGTGCCGTGGATTATCTGGAGCTTAATAAGTGGCTATTTATATGAAAACAATATATAAAGTCTCATGTAAAAGACATGTGCACACGTAATGAACACAGACTCATGGGACTGAAACTGAGGATCGTAATCATCAAAGAGTATGACTCCCCTACCATCTGATTAAGCAGAGTTAACTAGCTGGCTATTATGCTCCTGGAGCTAGCCACTAGAGGGAGACAAGATCACAAATGCTAAGTCACTGTATTATGAGTGTACTTGTGTTGCAGTCAACCTTTAAATGCTAATAAGCTTTCTGAGCTAGGCTTTTTTCTTTGTAACTAAGAAGATTAACCAAGAGGTATCATTCCTATGAAAGGACTAAATGTTCTTAATTAAAATGGAGCCCTTTTACCACCAGATCATTATTAAAAAACCCCAGAAAACAAATAATAAATCCCCATGCACAGACACAGGGCCAACAGTGTATTAAGCCAGTAAAAAAGGACTACTTAGCAATGGGGCAACGGAACTGCCTACACACTATACATGTTTATTTATTAAGGGCACTTTTGAGGGTGCCCTTTAGTGCCATGCTAGGACTGACAGGCTCTTCAGTGAAGCCCTGCTTTCTCCTTTGGTGCCTCCTACTAGCAGGTGCACATATGCATTATAAAATCTGGGTACCAGAACTGCTGCTCCACACAGATCCTTCCATCTGGAAGAGCTACCTTTAAATAAATGATCAGCTGTCAATAGTGCATCCAACCAAGATGAAGATAGATATATTTTAATTTCTCATTTTTCTGAGTGAGGCAGCAGTGCCCTAATGATAGACACTTTGTTAAACCTATGAGACAAGCCAGTCCTGACTGAAAGCCAGAGAAAGTCATTGCTGAAGAGTACAGATCTTACTGCAAAAATAATCAACTGCAGCTGCATATTTTTGACTTACTGATGCAAATGAGCCACCACCAATTGCCTCATGTCACAGCAAGTACTGAACCTGGACAATTTACTAAACAACTGGTGACAGAGCTGTGCTCTGAACTGTTTGATGTTCTGGCTTATCAGAATAATATGGAAATGAAAAGGAAAATAGCAAAGGTTGCCAAGTAGCAGATTAGAATCACAGAACTCTAGGGCTGGACGAGACCCCAAGAGGTCATATATAATCCCTCTCTTCCCCGCCTCCACCCAGTTGAGGCAGGACATATGAAAACATATTCTGCCTTATCAGAATAATCTGGAAATGAATTGCCTGAACAGGAAAATAGCAAAGGTTGCCAAGCAGCAGATTAGACTCCCTACAGTTCTGGGATAACTGGAAGAGACCTCAAGAGGTCATATAGTCCCTCTCTCCCCACACCGCACCCCACCCAGTTGTGGCAGGACATATGAAAATGTACCTCTGTGGAGTCAAACAGCATAGCTGGGGCTACAATGCCATTTGTTTTTGCAGCCTTTCGGATGATGATCTCTGCCTCTTTAAATCTTCCCTGGGAGATCAGCCACCGGGGAGATTCAGGAATGAACCTGCAACAAATTTCAGAAGGACTGAATCAACATTTCCACAATGATCACAACTCCTGACTTAATCATCTTTATTAAATACACTTTGGAGATAGATTTTGCAATCTCAGTAATAGATCACTTCCTGCGGTAGGGTCCAAACGTCCCGATAGATAAACATGTGGGTCACTTTACCCATAATGAGTAGTACCACTGAGCTCAATGGTACTGCTCAAGCACATGGGTAACTACTCACATGGTCAAGTACTTGCAGGACAGGGCCCTCTTCCTATAACTAGTTTCTGAAATTAGTTGTATTCATATATGTTAAGGGGATAATTAAATTCCATCAGAGAGTCAGAAGTTTCTTGGTAAATAGCAAAAATATTAATAGTTAGGTAGCATAAATATCAATCATATAAACAAGTTATCCTTACAAAAGTTGTATACAGCACACAAATGGTGTAGAGTTGTGGTGGTGATATTTAAAGGAAAGTGCAGACATATTTAAAGGCTACTTGCCATAGAGAGTTTATACACAACCTTCTTTATCTTCATAAAACAAAACTGATCAGGCTAAGAGAATGGTAGCAGTGCCACATTGTGGACATGATTGTATCCAGCAGGTAAAATCCAAACATCATGATGTCCATTAATATCAAACACAGACTAGAAGGACATGCCTCTCTTTCCCCAGTTTTTTAAAAACTCTAAATCCTTCAATCCTAACTGCTGCTGTCTTGCTCTCCTAAGTCAATGGTAAGTCAATAGGTCAGAGACTGCCGAGATACCTTCATGATCTGCAACAGCAGCTGCTAGACCCCTTCTTAAAGGGTTGATTAATATTTTTCTACTACTGTCTCTCCCACTGCATTTCTTTACAGGTCAGTTAATGAATACGAATGCAGATTGCAGAAGCAAGGGATACTCGGAATCCCTTTGGAGTATTTATCTTACTAAGCTTTTGACAGGATAGTTCTTATTTCACTGTATAAAAGTTATTAAGTAAATACATTGCTTCATAAGAGCCACTAGCAAGCACTGTGCAAGCTTCCTTTACATACCTCTGCCAATGTACCTCAATCCCTACCTACCATCTCTCTGCCTCTACAGTCCCAGACCCTGAAGTGGAAGATGAGAGTCAGGTCAATCCTTATGGATGTTTTGCAATGCAAACAAGAACTAGGAAGAACAGCCACAAAACACAACTTCACTGGTACCCCAAGGCAGGGCTTTGAATCTAGGTCTCCAGCAGCAAGAGGCCAGTGCAACAGCTCAGTGAGCCACCATAGCTTTCATAGGATTTATACGCTAGCGACAGTCAGCTTTTCCAATTGGACTTTTATGTTTGAATACCTACTTTTCCTCCATTACTCCCACTAACAAAATGATGCTGTGTGTCGCAGAGGAAAAGCGAGCAACGCCACACTGAAGTCAAGGATTCTAAAGCATTTCAAGTTAAATAGAAGCATTATTTAAAATGCCACTCTGGAGAGGGAATCAAACATCTGACCATCTCTCAAGTCTGATGATAGCAAGCAGGCATTGAAAATCATTTTTAAAGGGTTTTATTTCATATTTCCAGCCAAATTCAAAGAGCAGAAAGATGGAGCTGAATGGTATGTCACACTGTGTAGGATATAAGTCTGATTTGCTTTACTTAACAGTGCAATAAAGACATTGTTCTTTTTGAGGTCTTAATCTACCATAAATGAGGCTGTTTCAGAAGAACAAGAGAGGAGCTTCCTGGTTCAGCCCAGCATGAAAAGAAGGAATATTTAATATAATTTTTTTGAAGAGAATATGTATGTTTTGGGGGGTGAGGGAGACACCTCACATTTCTCCCCTCTATCAGGAAATGAGTGCACTCACTCCACAGATGCAGAGAAAGAGCGAGCATAGCATCCCTCCTCTAATCTGCCTACAGGGCCAATCAAAAACATCAGGCTTTCCCGTCTTGTCTCCAGTGTTTTCTTTTCACACTGGGAGTGCATAGCCATCCAGCGGTGAGTGAGGTAAGGTTTGTTTAAATTGGTGTCAATTTAAAAAGGAATGGGGGCAGCGGGGCGGGAAATGAGTGCAAAGGAGAGACCAAAAAACAAAATAAAAAACCAAGGAGTGGAGTGTGGAATGGTCAGGGTTAAGGTTAGCCATATGAAATCCATTAGGGTGATGTTTTCAAAATCCAGCATGACAACTGCATGCAAAGAGAAACAAAAAGCACGGAGAATCTCTTTATGTCTGGTAAACGGTCACTGCCAAAGCCTATTGCTGAAATCCTCCCAACTGGCAAAACAGGGAAAAGTAAAAAAGTAAGGATCTGGGTAAGCGTGCTAGACCTAGACCTAGAGCCAGTTAGTGGCTTGTCTGCATTCCCATCATAAAGCCCTGTTAAGCAGGTATTTGTGATGGAGCTGCCTGTCACATAGGGACCAGATGCTCCTCACCCTGTGATCCAATACCAGGAGAGGCTTTAGCGCAAGTCCATGGATTCAGACATTACGAAATCAAGGACGCCAAACACGAGTGGTGCTGTGATGCAGTGCGCCAGGTCGCAACGCCCACAGCAGGGAACCGAGCCAAGCCCCGCAGGACAGGAGGGCAGGTTTGCTCTTTAGCTCCACCCCTGTGGCCTCCATGCCATGCCAGGACTAGAGTTGCGGTGCTGAGGCAGAGGGCGCTGCTGCGGGTGGTTGGCGCACCCCTTGGCTACAATTCACAACCAAGCCTAAGAAGAGTTTAGTATGGTGCTCGAAAGGCTACATCCACCCCTGCTCAATACCGAGCTCCACACATTCAAACGCAGACAGTCAGATTCCTAGCCAGCCAGCCAGTCACGTTCCTGGACAAACTGGGGAACAGCTGTCTCCTCCCAACCTCAGCTCACCTGACTGCCACAACCAAGAACAGAAAACTTACCTTTAACGCAGGCCCTGTTACAGAGGCTGTTTTAGGTCTTCACAGGTCCAGAGCTCCAACACATGCCAGTTCCAACTTGGCTGTGTGCTCAGCCAGCCAGGGTTTAATGGGAAAGAGGCCGGTGCCTGGTGTTATTAGCAAGGGAAGGGAGAAAGGAGCAGGGATAAGAAAAGTGGGGAGGAAAGAGGGAAGGACCCATAGTGGCAACAGCTGAGAAATGAATATGATGGTGCCCATGGATCTAAGTGGAAACCTTTTCCAAAGGATTGTAAGATTCTCCCCCACTTTAAATTTGAACATATAATATTTTGAAAGGTATAAGGCACTCAGAGCCATAGATCTCCAAGTCCCAGGAAGTCAGGTCAGCTTCAAGACAGCATCCCCAGTCTCTAAAGGCCAGATAGGCTAGCATATCCCCTTACAGGATGAGGCATCCAATTGGCTGAGGAAAAAAAAACCAGGGTGGAGCCAAAGAAGCTATGACATTCTGTTCAACCAGCCAAATGAACCTGCAGGAGGTCATGGTGCTCATGTAAATCCCTCCCTGGACAAGCTACTGACCAATACTGACCCAGCGAGCTGTCCCTGGGGCTGTGTTTGCCTAAGTGCATTTAACGTATACACTTCGTTGTTTAGTGTGCTCTTCCAGTGCAGCTTCCACAGCGCACGCTAAATAATCATGCACCTGATTGTGGTACAGAATTTTGTTTTCGTGACCATGCCACTGTAACCCACATATGCAAGGACCTGGATAAGCCCGTCAGAACTCCCTTCGCTCAGCTGGTATGGGGGGTTAGGAGAAGGTGGTAGCAACACATCTTTATAATGGCACATTTTACATTTCCTTTAGACTAAAATTCAACCTAACCCCTTAACCTAGGCATGTAAACATTTTGTTTGTTTGTTTTTAGTGAGAGTTATGTTGAAAAGTTATTTACTTTACAGGACTGGTTTCCCCAAATAATTTTAAAATACACAAAACCATGTTTCATCCTAGCAGCGGCATGCTATGGTTTTACTTCAGTAGCAAAGCATATCTTTGCAAGGAAAAGGCATCACAGACAGATAAAGGGATTCTGATATGTTGTTTTTAGGAAAAACTAACCTTGGATTGCTCTGAATTTGATAATGCTGCATGGATTAGCACAGATGCACATGAGATGCCTGGTTTATCAGGGTGGTTTCCTGCTGTATGGCTGACTTCATATTCCAAAAGTAACACGTTGAAGGTTTACACAACTCTGACAAAGAAGCTGTGAACTGTTACAGCCTATCAATCCACACAGCCACTCTTGGAAGAGTTATATGGCATTTGGCGCAGATACCATCTAGACAGCAAATAAGATTAGCTTTCAGAACTGCTGACAGAGGATCTGTTATAGTCTACTGGGTTAATCCATTGTTTGTTTTTTGGATTTTCACTTCTTTTCCAAGGCCACATTAGAGGAACAAAATGCCTTGCTCCCAGAAACCTCCCAAACTGTGACCAAACTTTACTGGGGGTGGGGGGAAAATAAATGAAAATTGAGCACCAAAATGTTAGGGCTGAGATTTTTTTTCTCCTCAGCTCACCCCCATATGCCTCTAGCATCTCCCTCTAGTGGGGAATCTGATGTACCCTGGGGCACTGCACCCAAGATGTAAAGATTCACTAAAATGATCATATTAAGGTAAATTATTTGCATTTAGGCCCCAATCTTGTAACCTGCTTAACGAAGGTGCACTGTGCAAAGCCCTATTGTTGGCAGTGTCCATGCATATGGTACAAGTTGCAGGATCTGGCTCTAAGCTAGAACCCTGGATTCCAGCGTGCCTGCTGGGCCAAACATCTAGTTGCTGGCTTCCCTACTCCACCACACTTTCTTTTGTTTTAACGGCTCAACACTGTGCCCAGAGGTGGTGAGAGACTAAAAGTGAGTTATGAAAAAGATCAGAGTAATTAAAGATCAAGGAGAAAGTTTTAAACATCCTCCCTGCCCCAGTCTCTTACCCTTATCCAGCCCTCTCAGACATAAATATTGTGTGTAGCAAAGCACACAGGTTTTGGGTAGCATTTCAATAAGGAAGATTTTTGTTGCATTCCAACAGTTGCATCCACATAGAAAATAGGCTTCTAAAAAAGGAAGGAAGAAAAGCTGGAAGGGAAAGTTTGTACAGTACAACTCATCCAGCAATAATAAAGGAGATAACAAAAAGGTTATAAAGAGAGTTTGAGGTTACGAGTCTGATAGTCTGGAAAGAATTTCCGAAGAGCACTGCAAAGCCAGCATAAGATGGACTCTAGCCGTGTTAGCAGGGTTCAGCACATAGATAAGTTATCTTAAAACTGGCTGAAAATGTTTAATCTTCAAGGCAAATCCCTTCACTTGGCATGCAGAATACTAAAACCACAGCAATTATAATCCAACTGGTTATTTCACAATTTAAACTGGAGGTTACCAGCTACAGATGGGACTTTCTGAAGCCGAACACCTTGCAATACAATTAAACTCACCACCACAGTGGAACGCAGAGCACCCCAGGTGCAGTGAGAGCCAGTAGCAGCATCCGCCAGTCTCTGATGAAGTAAGCAAATAGTGGCAGCAACATGTAGCCAATTGCAAAAAATGTGCAAATTCCTAATGTAGAGAATATAATACGAACTGATTTGCCAAGAATTTCTGTGCCTGTTCAAAACAAGGGAGTTTGGATTAGCATTTTAACTCTTTTTGTAAAAACCACGTCTAAATATTTTATCGCATTTACAAAAATCAGCTAATATAATCTTTAAAATGGAGTCATTTCCCTTATAACACTTAAAGGGACACTGTCAAGGAGTTCTGGCACAAAATAAGACCAACCTTAACATGAAGATAATCTGGTGGGACAGTCTTCCAGATATTAATTGTATAAGAGATTTCAAAGTTGCCAAGCCATTACTGAGTAATTGAAAGGCCAGCCACCATTTGTGTGGGAACCCACCTCTTTCAGTGCCCCCTGCTGGTTCTGCAAAAGCAGATTTCAAGTAATACACAGCTATTTTCAACACTAGACATAGTCCTCATGACATCTATGATGTTGCAAAGACAACAAAATAAATGGGCTTTTTTTCAGAGCTTTGTTTCACCACCCCTCTGAATTTCTGCACTGCTAGAATCAATACTTGCCCAACGGACAGGACAAAAGTAGGAGGAGACTTACATTTCTGCCATTGCAAAGACTGGGGAGTTCAGAGAAAAAACAGCAGACAGTGTCCTTTTAATCAAGCCTTCTTGTTCCTATCTCCCAGCAGTTTTTAAGTAATTTGGGAACAGAACACAAAGGAAGTTTATACTGAAACATGGCTCACTCCAAATATATCAGGATTAAAGAATTGCCATATTAGTTGATGGGGCCACATGTCCAGTGCCCTGTTTCCAACAGTGGTCAATGGCAGATGCTTTGGAGGAAGGCATAGAACTGCCTCACCTATTCATCTACAATAGCACCTAAAGACGAGGGCAGCGAATCTCTCGCTCACTCCAGTCAATCAGTTTTTACCCTGAATCATGAGAACTGAGTGATCCAAGAATTTACATTTCAGTCACAAAACCACAGATACTGTTATTCACACGAACATACAACAGATTTTTGAAATCTTGCTAAATCCTTTGCTTCAGTTCTTCCCTGAAGTGGCACATTCCACAGGTTCACCAGCTGCATAACGCAGTCTTCTATTACAATCAATTTTGAGTGCCCTCGTGTCCCAGGAAAGGATAAACAGGGACACTTGAGGCCTTCGCTGGCCTGGTTTTTAAAATGCCAAGCACCTAATAGTTCACATTAACTTCAATGGAATTTGCTCAGTGCCACTTCTTTGGGTGTCTAAATAAGTGCTTGGGACCCTAACTTCAGACACTCATCTCTGAAAGTCTTTGCCTATATTTCCTACCATACTTCTCCAAAATAAGCATTCCTAGTCTTTCAGTCTTGTCTTATTTGGAAGTCCGTATAAGCCTCTGATCATTTCTATGGCCCTTCTCAAACTTTGAGTCTTCCAGATCCTTAAAATTACATGAATTAGATTGAATGCACTGTTCTTGAGGAGGATACACCACCTACATATAATGGCATAGTAGCAGTATTTTTCTCTGAAACACCACAATGGTAGATTTCTCCTTGTTGACATCATGATGGAGAAAGATCCTTTTACCTGTTCAGTTTGAGGCTGTCTCAGTGTTCCCTATAGAAGCTATAACTAATCTGGAACCAAGCGCAGGTACATATGGCTTAGGTTACCACATACTGGGCTGAACACTTTGCACTTGCTTGCGCTGAAATCAGTCTTCCATGGTGTTGCCCAGTTACTACATATTGTTGGATCCTCTGGAGTTGCTTACAATCCTTACCAATTTTGACTTACCTAAATATTATGCTAGTAAATTTAGTTACCTCACTATCCAGCCCCTCGAAGCCGTTATAAGGGGACACACACAGATCCTAGCTCTCAAGTCTGGCTGAGCTACATTTGGCGTAGGACCCAAAAGGGGTATGAAGATGACTTTACGCCACCTTTATTCTCTCTTCCTGATCTCCAGGGCACCCTCAGCACAAATCAGAACAGCTCAGGGCTGATCTAAATTACAATAGCCTGAACAGCCGCAGGACGATTTGTAGCATCTGAGGATCACCTGAGCACAGCACATTTCAGCCACACTCACTTCAACCCCAGCACATCCCCTGGCTGCATGGCACCCAGGGATTCCACAGGGGAATCTCCAGCTAGTTACTTCCGCTAGTTTAAATGCAGCAATGGTCCAGCGACACAAAGCAAAGCCACCTCCTCAGAGCCACTGGACTAGCCCAGACTAAGGTAATTTACGGTTTGCAAGAAGTTGTTTCCATGAAATTAAAACAAACAACTCAGAAAATAGCATTTTTTAGATTTAAATATTCCCTGGGTGCTTTTGTAGCCCAGACAAGAATATTATGTTAGTGCATAAGAACCTGAAATTTAAACAAACTACCCTGTGTTTTCATCCCCCATGCCCACTGATGTACAGAAAGAATAGACAGCATAAAATTATGAAAAATTAAAAATGTTTACAAGATTTTCAGTTTTAATACCTAATGTGCTATTATAAAATACCCTGAATGTTTTTAACCTGACACTGTTTCTTTAATAATATTAAAACAACATTAGATTTAGTTCCAATTCCTGGGTCACTTTATTATTAATCATTGCCCACTTATTCCTATTCTTTGCATCCTCTCTCAAGACAGGAGAGTCTCAACTTTCTTATACCATGGACCACATTTCAATAAACAGATGGTCATGTGGACACATCACCTCCTATTGCCAACATGCAGATCACTTTCCCACTAATCTGTGATCATGTAACATCCCTCTAGCAACTCCAACAGTGACTTTCAATGTAGAATAAAAGCATTTATGTCTGGCCACATGCAGTTCGGTGAGAACTGAGCAAATAAACAGAGCGTGCCTATCTCTGTCCTTGTAAAGTGCTGGAAAATGCAGTGGAAAGAAGGAAATGGGAGAAAAGAAGAAAACCCGGCCTCTTCCCAGCAGCTCCAAAGGCAAAAGTTTTTATGAAGTCAGGAAAGAGGATGTGTTGCAACACCCCATCATTGCACCAAGACTGTGCTGAGACATTGCATCAATAACACCGCTGAGTCATGAACATGCAGTGCTGGAATGTCATACTATCATCATTTTGAGTCACTCCACTAGATGATGGAAGTGGTTATCCAAGATAAAATACAACTGAGATATTGCATAAGGCAAAGAGGGGAGAAATACCCTCGCAGTTCAGACTAGTTCAGTGATTAGCAGTACTGTTAATGGCCTGCACAATTAATATAATAAGTAGCAAAAAATAAAATTAACTTTAGCCAGGAAACTGGACAGAATTTTGTTGTTTTTATTAATTTTTCACAATGCCTTGTCTAGGACAGATTGTGTCTTCTTTGGAGCTTAAAATAGATCACTTATAACAAACACCAGGTTTCGGGAACTGAATGTTCTACTAGGAGTGAATCTGTTTCCCTTTTTAATGATCTTCCAATTTAAGAGTTATCATATAATCCAGTTTTGAAAGATCCTGAAGAGAAGCAGGTCTGTGGATTGAAATTAATGGACAAACTGACATGGATTCTCCCAGGTAAAGGACTGCAAGTTTGTACTGAGGTTGGATCAATCTATAATTTCGTTTTGGAAGAGAAGGACTGCAATATGAAGACAATAACATGATCATAAATTGAAGATAATAATAAATATATTACATCAATAATAAAGATAATATCTTGTAATAGAGTTACAGTTCAAATAACCATGCATCCCTAAATCAAAGCAAATTTTTGACAGCGGGCTCATTCAGCACACACATTGTGCCAATGTGATACCTAGTCCTTTAGAGAGAGGAACAGTGTAAGCCTTCAGTTACCTAGTTCTTTTTCCAATAAAATGCCTAGCCTTCTCTTAAAGTCTGTGCATAACAATTCTACCCCATCTCTCACATGGTCCTCAGACATTTCCTTTCCATTAGGGGCATTAGACTCCTTTACTCACTGAATATGATGTGGACTCAATTAACAACATCAAGCAGACAGATACAAAGGTGTAAGGGAGTATAGGGAGTTATGTAGTTCATAAAAGTGCATTGTAATATTGCCTAAAAGCTATTGTGGAAGAAATGCACAAGGTCTATTTATGAGCTGCATTTATTTATGAGACTGACTCACCTGAGCAAGCAGCTCATGAATAATTCCCCATTAAGCAATTTCAAAAAGTATCTTCTCCACCTTTCATGTTTTTGTTTTTTAAAAAGAGCAAAGTTATAATCTTCTCCCCTGGTTGTTGTTTGTTTTGTGTCTTTATGAGAAGTTTGGTATTTAAAAAACAATGAATTATGGGGTTTAAACATTTTGTTAAAAATGCCTAGAACCTTAAAATTTGTGATAATCCAAAAATAAGATCTAATATAAGATTAAGTCTCTCAGGTACATTTATAATTCTTTCCCGCCAAAAGAGAACAATTTGAGGGCATTACCAAAATACCTGTACAAATGAAGTGTATTTTTATAGTCACATAACTTGACCACAAAAAATCTGGTAATCATGGAAAGTAATAGAGGCCTGAAGCTAAGGAAGGAAAGAAAAAGTTCTTGTAGAAAAAACTTTCCTGGAGACAGCTGAAGGACATAAGTGCAGAAATTAATCAAAGGTTCAAAAAGAAATTATTCCCACTAATGTAAAGAGCAGTCCTGTGAAATGCAAAGGAACACATTGGATGAACCAGCTGTTTTTTCAGGCCGTTCTATAACAGTGTCTACGTTTTTGAGCAGGAAAGTTAATATTTAATGATTTCTAGTCATACAATTTGATTTTAGATGACAAATGAAAGGAGAGATTCTTGGAAAGGTGCACACTTTTCAAAACAATATGACTATTTAGTTACTGTGGCTAGGTTGTAGGATACTGAACTTCAAATGGCTGCCTTACACATCTGTGGGTCACTCTTCCTCTCTAGAAGCTCAACTTAAAGCAACGTCTCTAATGAACACAAAAAAAGAGGAAACCTTTTGCTGTATAGTCCTATCTGATGCAGCCCCTCCCCCTCCAATCATCCTGGGATGAAAGTTTCAGAGGCAGCAAGCCTATAAACAAATCCTAAGAGCAGAAGTCCAT